GATGAAGAGCACCAAGATAGGATTGGATAAAGTCTTATTGGAATTAGTGAAACTGGATGAGAATGATATTATTTCAGCACCATCTTAAAGAAAACTTACTTTGTATGGGTGGTTTCCTTCCATCCTTGATTTTTCTGGAACTCAAAGTTACCCCAAGAAGCCAGACTTTGAGTTGGTCATTAGTACTGTGTGTGAAAGAGAAAGTTAATGAAGTCTTTACTTTGGAAAGTGAATAAACCTTGTAACTGCATATTTATTCCCAAGTGTCTTCAATCTAAACAGTAGCACTGGAGGAGTTACAAAAATGTATCTCTTGTCATTATTATATTGATTCAAAAATAGTGAAATTTTTTGAAAAAAGCATTTGCATTTTTTAAAAAGAATATTGAATTGACTCTATAGGTTAGGACCATACCTTAAAATTGTTTTTAAAATGACTGTTATATGGAAAATATTAGGACAGTGAGTTTAGATCAATGATTTGGATGATGATAATGAGTTTTAATCATTTTCTGTGTGGAAAGTTAAATATTATGCAACTATTGCCTACAACTCAAAAATCTATCCCAATTTCATCCAGTAGTGGTTTGAAATTCAGAGACACCTATTAGAAGCAATTATAAGATTAAAAAAAATCAGCTACTCTTTATAAGTACTTGTTACTGATAAACCAATATGATACAAATTTTAAAGAATGAATGAAACAAGAATTGGAGAGCTCCATTTTATCCAGCAGTGAGAAACAATCTCAACATCTAAATAAAAAAAAAATTCAGTAGCTCTTAGAATATAGCTTATTCAAGGTTTGACCCCATTCCAAGGAGAGGAGTAAATCTTCATGTTGTTGGAGATAGAATAAGAATAATGCGCATTGAAACATGTTTTTGCAATGGCCTAATATTATTCAAAACTGGAAAGGAGTCATTGCACATATTACTTGGGTTTTTAGATGGGGTCTGATACTTTAGTACTATATTATTTGGAATGACATACCCATTATGTGTAAATTGATGGCTGAACAATGGAAATGAATTCTTCTCATCCCTCTTATTGCTAAGACACTTGTCTCTCAGCATTAAAAAGACAAATTTATAGCCCAAATTATTCAATGAATCAAAGACCTGATGTTACTCATGACTTATGAATGAGTTGCTTACAGATGCAAATTATGTATGGATAAGAATAATAATATATGGTAATGAACTTTACTGAAACTGTTTTGCAAAATTTATATATTGTACATGTACGGGAAGTACTATACTATATTTTTTTCCCTTGGTTTCTTTTCTCTTACTGTTTTCATTTTTTATTATTTTCCTTTTTTGTTTTGTTTTGTTTAATAAAATAAATAGATCCTCTATGTAAAAGTGATGTGCTCAAGCTGGGCTCACTCATGGGCACAATATAGCACCGTCTATCCCTGGATGTGGCAGTTTCCTGACAGCATTTTCTCCTTTCAGACCTTCTTATACTGCAGAAATAATCATATCTTTGGGCATTCAGCTTGTAGTGGATAGAACACCAGTCTAAAATGTACACCTTTAAGTATTAGAGTAACATCTCCTCTGAGGATGAAAGCAGGTGGCAAGGGGCAAAATTCTACATGTGAGCACCATCCTTGGTGCCTGATTAAAATTCAGTGGCCCTGAGCAGCACTGCAAGCTACCCCATACCATCTGGTAGCAATTGGGTGGGGGGTGGGGGTGGGGTGTAATATAGCCATATAAAAAGACATACAGTTATATACCAAAAAAAATCCCTTTTGATCTAAATGCAAGATTTGATCATAAAAGCAGTATATGTGAAAAGTGAATCATTATTTATCTAGACAAGGGAATTTGACCTTTTAATTCAACACTATCAAAGGCCTTACATTATATTTCTATACCAATTTATGTGTGCATGAGGGTGGGGGAGTAGGTTTTCCTACACACTTACTCTGAACAGTTAATGTTCCCTAGCAGCTGATCATTTGTGCTGACCCTTTATAACACAGATGCCCCAAAAGTAAATTAGGATCTACTGGTATATTTCTTAGAGAAAATTTGCAGTAGACCATTAACAATGTCTAGTTTTTAATTACAATAATTATTTAAAACAGAAGTAAAATTAGATAAAATGAAAGTAGAAAAGTATGCCAGCAAATTTTTCTATCTCCGCATTTGATTGGCCAAACAAGGCAATTAGAAAAAGCCTTTAAGTTTGCCTGTCCCTTTTCTTGATGTCACCAGTGGCTGGAGATCATCACCTAATCATAGCATACAATGGTAAACCTGGCTGAAAGCTAGCACCTCCCCATAATGCCAGGCAGCTGTTCTATAGGATGAAAGGACTGCCTCTTCATAACTTCTCTCCAGACAAGGAGAGGACTTGAGATCACTCACAACTGCTCCAGACAGTTGCTCCTCATGCAGAGACTGCAAGACAGCAGTCTCTAGTGGATTTAGAGATCTGAGCGATGAGGGGATAGCCATCTTGCTCAAACCACAATGGGCACCTTTAAAATGAAGAGATTATTTTTGGAAATTGCTTGGGACTCCAATTAAAAAGTATTGCTGTTTTGTAAACATGTGTGATGGAGGAAAGAATAATATGTTTTGGGAAATTCCTCCTATAGTATTTTCTTAGTAGGCAAGATTAGAATCTAAACCAACCTGAAAGCTGTCTAGATGTATTTGATTAACCACTCTTGGTTATGCTGGTTTGGGAAGATTGAAATTTTACTCTAACATTTAGATGACATCATAGTATAAAAAGAGAGCCAGATTGGTGTAGTGGTTAAAGCACCAGACTAGAATCTCAGAGACCATAATTTCTAGTCTGCCTTAGGCACAAAGCCAGCTGTCTCTCAGTCTTAGGAAGCAGGCAGTGGCAAGCCACTTCCCAAAAACAAAACAAAACAAAAAGCCCTTGCTGAGAAAACTGCAGGGACGAGTCCAGGTAGTAGCCAAGAATCTTGAAGAGCACAATATACACATAATACATACATGTGGTATAGACCTTACTTTTTTCACCATTGAATTTCATTTTGTTAGATCGTGCCCAATGTTCAAGTTTGTCAAGATCCTTCCGTATCTTAAACCTATCTTCTTGAGTGTTGGCTATTCATACCATCTTGGTGTCATCTGCAAATTTGATGTTCCCCATTTATCCCATCATCCAGATCATTGATGAAGATGTTGAAGAGTACTGGGCCTAAAACAGACCCTTGGGGTACTCCACTGCATACCTCCCTCCATGTAGATGCAGTTCCATTGAGGACTACACGTTGAGTGCGGTTGGTCAGCCAGTTACGAATCCCTCTGGTGGTGATGCTGTCTAACCCACATTTTTCTACTTTATCTAGTAGTAGGTTATGGTCTACCTTATCAAACGCCTTGCTGAAGTCCAAGTAAATTATATTGACGGCATTCCTCTGGTCTACTAATTTTATCACTTTGTCGAAGAATGCAATAAGATTAGTCTGGCATGATCTGTTTTTGACAAACCCATGTTGGCTTTTGGCTATTACTTTGTTTACTTCTAGGTGTTTGCTAATTCGTTGCTTGATTATCTTTTTCAGAATCTTCCTTGGTATTGAGGTCAGGCTGATAGGTCTATAGTTTCCTGGATCTATTTTTTTCCTTTTTTGAAGATGGCAACCACATCAGCTCTTTTCCAGTCCTCTGGCAGTTCCCCGGTGCTCCAGGATCTCTGAAAGATATAGTTCAGTGGTTCTGAGATCTCATCTGCCAGTTCCTTCAGAACACTGGGGTATAATCCATACGGTCCTGATGATTTGAACTCGTCTAGGGTAGACAGGTGCTTACTTACCATTTTCTTCCCTATTTCAACTTGTGTTCCTAATTTGATTTTTGTGGTGCTGTTTTTGATAGGTTGGAATGTTTTACCCCTTTGTGTAAAGACAGATGCAAAAAGTGAGTTAAATAGTTCTGCTTTCTTCCTGTTGCTTGTCATCTTCTTGCCACTTTCTCCCAGCAATGGACCAATTGTTTCCTTAACCTTTTTCTTGTATTTAACATGTTGGAAGAAGCTTTTTGTTGTTATTTTTTTACTTTTTGGCAAGACTTTCTTCATTGTGAGCCTTAGCTTTCCTCACTTCATCTTTACAGGCTTGGGCTATTTGCTGATATTCTGCCTTAGTTACGTCCCCCTCTTTCCACTTTTTATACTTACCTTTTTTGTCTTTCAATTTGTCAGAGAGTTCTTTATGCAGCCATGCTGGTTTCTTTTGGGAGCTGTTATTTTTCTTCTTCATTGGTATTGTGCTAGGCTGGGCTTTTGTAATCTCATTTTTCAAAATTTCCCAAGCTTCTTGAGTAGTTTTCCCCTTGAGGATTCTCATCCATGGAATCCTTCCCAAGCTCTCTCTAAGTTTATTGAAATTAGCTCTCTTAAAGTCCAATACTCTAGTTTGACTTTGTTCTGCTACTTGTGTTTGCATAATGTTGAACTCCAGTATTGCATGTTCGCTTGCCCCCAAGGTTCCTGTAGCTTCAACACCTTCTATAATTTCCTCTCTGTTAGTGAGAATTAAGTCCAATATGGCCGATCCCCTTGTTCCCTTCTCTACTTTTTGGGAAACAAAGTTGTCTGCTAGGTAGGTTTGTTAGGAACCGGTTGGATCTTCCACTTGGTGCAGAGTTTGTTTCCCAGTTGATGTCAGGATAGTTAAAATCCCCCATTAATATTGTGGTATGCTTCCTACATACCTTAGTTAGCTGACTAGCAAAAAGTTCATCTACTAGTCAGCTAACTAAGGTATGTAGGAAGCACACCACAATAGTAATGGGTGATTTTAACTACCCTGATATCAAGTGAATTGAAATCAATGTGAATTAATATTTGTTTTTGTTTAAAACCACAGGCAGAGGAAACCTTTTGAACTGTTGCTTCTTACCTCAGTGACAAAATTGTTGTCTTGTAAATGTAATTGGCAGGTTTTTCTAAACTGTCTTGACAACCTCTAGTCATGAAATGGAAAAGCCAGTGACTGACTTTCAAAGGGCTTTGTCCTTGCCAATGATTAGATATAGAAATCTGGAATAGGTGACTTCATGTGCTACTTGTATCTGCTGTAAAACTAGGTGAAACTCAATAAGAAATCATAGAAGAAAGCTGTTCTGTCCATAAAATGCCCACAGAAACAATTTGTCACACACAAATGAGTGAATCTGGGTGATATCTCTGGCCTAGTAGCAAGGAAGAAGGTGGACAGGAAGACTACAAAGCTTTAAAGGCAAGAAGACCTCTTGATGGTTACCTATACGGCACTTACCTCTTATTGTGTGGATCCCCGATGTCAATGAAAGGGACATGCTGCCATAAAAACAGAAGAACAAAAAGGCACAGAATGTGGGTGAGTGGGTGAGGAAAATACATTATGGAAAACATATGTGTGGTTGCAGGGGAAGAAATGGCCCAGGAATCTTAATCTGGACTGGTAATGTACATCCTCTCAATCTACAATTGTTTAAATCAAATCTGGAATTATGACTGAATTTTCCTCATAAAGAGGAAGGAATGGAGGAGAACACAAAGGCGTTTGCCATCAGCCATTCCCTGCTAGTTCCAGCACTGTGTCTGCGATTGCTCTGGCAAGTCATGGAAAATCTTGGGCATGCATTGCACCAGTAGTGGGATTCAATTTTTTTTACTACCAGTTATGTGGGCATGGCTTTGTGGGCATGGTGTGGATTTGTGGGCGTGGATTTGTGGGCGTGGATTTGTAGGCCTGGCAGGGGAATGATACTGCAAAATCCCCATTCCCTCCTCACCCCACCCCACTAACCTGATTTCCAGTTTCCTTCTCCTGTTCAGGGCAACGAAAGAAAAGCAGCTGGGAGGCAGTGGGGGTGAAGCCAGCTTATTTGCAGGTTCTCTGAACAACTCAAAATTTCGGCTACTGGTTCTCCAGAATCTGCAAGAACTGGCTAAATACCACCTCTGCATTGCACATGGATTAGTACACCAGGGACAGCGTAATGCCTGCTGTTCTTTCAACAGCAAATTCACTCATTTAGTTTTCTACCTTGGTGTGCTGAGCTTCCATGTTCAATGACTTCACTGGGTAGGCTGTCATTTTATGTTAGATCATATCCTTTCCATGTGAACTGGTGGCAAGTCTGATCACTGACATCTCCAGTTGGGCTAGAAAGATTGGCATCTGAGGAGTCACTGCTAGCAGGCAATATTAAATTACAGGGTAGAATGGTTTGACTCAGCATAATGCAATTTTCTTTGCCAAGAACTTTTCTTCAGTTAAGAGTTTCTGACACCAACCTTGGGCTTTATCTGTTTGCTCTTTCATTGAACTACCTCGTTCATTCATTCAGAAATATTTCAGAGCATGGTGTAAAGCCAGCTTAATTCTTCTGCTTACCTCGTTTCCTTTGTCTAATGGTAAGGCTGACCCTGTAGGTGGCAAAAGTTTACCAGTCAAAATGGACTATTCTCAAATAATGCTTTATTCAGATAGATTTTTTAAATTAGTCATAATTACACTTCTGTTCATACAATTTTTGCTGTTAAGTAGTTGTGTGACTATGAGGATTGAATAGCTGTTTCCCCCCATTCACAGACAGCTTTTTCTGACCACTAAGCAAATTCAGTTCTCTTTGGACTCGCTTGGTGATTTTTGCCTCCTTAATATAGTTTCCTGTTGTGGCCCAACAGGATCTAGTTGAGCTGCTGGTGGACTTGGATAGCAAGGAACCATATGAGTCTGCCCTGGACAATGTGGAGGACCCTGGGCAGGGTTCAGACTCAGAGCAGGGACCAGAGAGGCTGGTTGGCCACCAGGAGGTGCCTGAGGCATGGAGCAGTGGGGAGGATCAAAGGCAGTTTTTCCCTGATGCTAGATTGAGAAAGGCTGAGAAGCAGAAGCAGCAACTCCAGAGGCAGACTCACAGAAGATGATTAAGCACAGGTGGTTGTTGATTGGCCCCTCCCAAGAGATATTGTAGGTGAGGCGTTGGGAGGGGACATTTGCAGGAAACAACTGTTCAAATTAGTAGTTAAGAAAATCTATCTGTGTATTATAGTTGTGTCTGTTCGTCTGGGCTATCTGCTTCTNTTTCCTTATGAAGAAATATTTGCAGGCATTTTTTTTGAATTTGTTATAAAGGACTTAAAGCCTTTGTTAATTGTTCTATTTAACTGGTACAAGATGGACGAGACCGAATAAATTTTGATAAATACACCAGTCTATTCAAGATGTAGGTAATATGTGGAATATATTCAATTTACTCTTGGAAGCTTCAGTCCCTCCGTTCGGACCTCTGGGGACTTCACCTGGCACGTTGCAGGCTGAAATGAAGCTTCTGAAGGGCGGATGTGCCAGGGTAGGACTCCAGAGGCCTAAATGGAGCTGCAGAGGAAGGCATATGGCTGAGTGGCTGGAGATAAGACTGCTTGCTGGATCTTCACATGGTAAGTGACCCGGTGCAACAGATTGGGTGGGGGTAAAGCAATTGTGGGTAGCATGAGTATTTCAGTGGGTCAGAGAGGCCTTGGATGGTCTTAGGCAGGTGGCCTGTTCCATCAATAGACCACCCGCTGGCCTTCCCCATCCCGAAATACCTCTTGTGCAATTAACGAGCCTCGCATTCGATTAGTGAATGCGTGGGCAAAAGGAGGGAGTGATCTTGTTCAAGGTACTAGATTCACTCCCACAAATACTCGTGTTACTAACGGAATGGGTAGGCTCCATTCCATTCGTAACTCAAGGACTACCTGCATTACCTGGAAAATAAGATCAAGGAATCAATCCAAACTGAAGTTTTCATTTTAACAAAGCTGTCCACTGCTAAATTTATGGCATAACAACTGTTCCATTTAAGTTTGCTTTTTTTTGCTTTCCTTTGTTTTTTGTTTGAGAGATCGTCTGTATTTATAATTTTTCTTTTAAATTGCTCTACATACACTCCTCAGAGATAAACTTCAAACTTATGGAAATGAATCCAATAAAATAATTCAATACTAATATTAATTCAATACAAGACTAATGCAAGGACTATCCAAACAAACCATGCAGACATATTTGAACAAAACTGAAAAGCAGTCACTTGCCTCCGTATTCCTTCCAGACACACAGCAGTATTGTCATTGATCACTCTGATTCCCCATTCATTGAGATATATCACATCTTTTTTCTTTGAGAACTAAATTAGAAAAAATAGGGAATATAATTTCTGCCATTATTGGTTTGCACCCGACTGCAAAATCATACAACGTATACCGACAGTTCAATGACATTCTCAGATTCATACTTCTTCCTTATATTTGTGATCACTATTTAAATTCAAACTGTGCCCATGTTTTATGATTTGAATCTAAATATTTTATTCTGAATTTATGAAGAAAAGAACTTTAATAGCTAGTTTTAATAGCTAATGTACCCTTCCTTTCATATATGTTATACCACTCAAGCAAATATTTGTAGAGAATGATGCACAATGCCATGGGTGCCCGTTTATGTATCTTGTTAGTATTATAAGCAATCCCAATGTAAGGACTGAATCCAGGAAAGTCTTGAAGTTTACAGATTTTTTTTTGAATTTCTAAAAGTTTCTTAAATTGTTCTGAGATTCTGAAAGAAATAAAAATTCCATTATTATATTACAGAAATTTAAAACCATCTTTAAAGAAAACAGATATTATTATTTTAAATAAAAATTGCAAGGACATAGCATGTCTCTGAATCATTTATTTGATCTCTGATCTTTACAGTGGTACAAACAAATGGACTTGCCTCTTTTAGGGAGATGGGCGGTCTATTAATAAAAATATATACATAAATAAATGTAAATAAGATACTAGTAGTTTCCAGGATTTTTTTTAAAAAAGTATATTTATTTAAAGAGAGCTTTTTCAAAATGTATGGTTCTTCAAAATTATTCTTCTGTAAAAAATATCATCTAAAAGAGCAACATGAAAATAAATGATAAGCTAAATTAAGCTGCAATTAGGGCTGAGAATGTAATCTATTGTCCACAGCTGCCAGGTGATGCCAAGAAAAGCAGCTATTTTAGAATAGCAAAACAGTTGCTTACTCATTTGCTAGAACACTAAAAAATACCTTTTTGAATCAGAACCTGAAGTTTTGTGCAAGTCTACTCATTTCCATTTTTCAATGAAGTAACTACAGAAAATATCCTGGTGAACCATTTATGACCCATACTGATTACCCATTCTGATGTAGTAGGGAAAACAAATTGTAACTCAAGAAAAGATAGTTGT